AAGCCTATGCCAGGCAGGGTGCTGAGGGATGGGATGGGAGATGCAGGATGTGGTCCAGGTGGGGTCTGCCAGTGTTAGAAACACAGTTTAGGCTGCATGGAGGCCTCAGCTGCATCCGCTGGGCTGGGGGTAGAAGGTGCCCTCACCTGCGTGTCCAGTCTGCTGTCCTTGTTGGGTAGTGGTTGGCAAACAGGAGGGAGGCTGGGAGGGCTCAGCCAGGGTGCGGGGTCCTGCCGAGCTGCCCATGTTACGTCCTCGAAGGAGGCACTGCCCAGCCAGTGTTGGGAAAGAGGTCCTGCGAGCCTCGACTTGGGCTCGGGGGGCTGAGCAGCGCCCACAGTCACCCTGGCCAAAAAATGTGGAGGTCCCTGGTGAGAGGGCTCCACCATGTTCTCCTCTTTGCTTCCCCTGAATGCTGCTCAGACAGCGATTCCTCAGGCCCGGGCTTCAGGACTTGTGTCTCTGAGCTCTTTATACCACTCCTTGCCCCCACAGTATTACCCTGGCCACTCCTTTCTTAGGGCACTGTATTCTGCTAGGGGCCTCTTGGAACTGCTCCTTGCCATTCCCAGGCCTTCAGTCTCCTCGGGGGTCTTGCTTCTGCCTCAGCACCCACACCACCCTGCTGGGGACAGCTGCCCCTGCTCTGTGCCTGGGAACCCAAGGCCCCCTGGCTGACACAACAGATACCCCAAAGATTCTTTCTGTTTTTAAAATCTGCAAGCTTCTGTTGCTCCTTGGCCACCAGGGATGCCAGGCAGGGCACCCTGCAGTGGCAAGGATCCACTTTCGCCTGAGGCCGATGAGCACAGCCTCACAGGGTATGGCTGGCTGGAGGTGGGGTGTGGCTTTAACGGGTCTTAGAGGAGCAAGTGAAGTTGGCCGTGTGGGCAGGTGCTCTGGTGGAGTATGCATCCATGGCAGCAGTGAAGGTGTCAGGAGCTTGGGATGAGGGGTGAGTTGGAGGCAGGACAGAGGTCATCCTGGTAGTGCCTGGTCATCTCAGGAGGTGCCTGCCCTGTGGAGGCCAGGCTCAGCCCAGCTGTCAGGCAGGGCTTGTTTTGGGGGCTCCCTTCCCCCAGGTCACAGCAGCCCTGTGGGTGGGCTGAGGCCTGGTGCCTCTGGCCCAGTCCCCCTCTGTGAGCCATGTGGGGAGCAGAGGAGGCCCATGGGGCCACTGCCTGGCAGGGCAGCTAGGCCACCAAGACCACATCCTGGGTAGGCCTCTGGGGCAAGGCTGAAAAAACCTGTTTCAGAACCAGGATCCCAAGGATGGCCATAAGGACAGAGGCCCTGGGCCGGTGGATTGGGGCTGGCTTAGCAGAGCTGGTGTCCCAGCTGAGCCCCTCCCAGGAGGGAGGGAAGCAGGGTTGAAAGTGTTTTGCTGTCTTACCTCCATTGAGTCTCCAGATCCTTCCCGAAGCAGAGGCTAGGCCTTATGTGTCCCCTTGGTCCTGCCCCGTGGGGCCCAGCTGGAGAAGGCCCTGGGACCAGGGTCCACAGAATCGAGGTCTGGCAGGAAGGTTGTCCTGGAGTGCAGGGACCTCAGGAACCTTAGGGACCCCAGGCCAGTCCTGGGTGATGAGGTCAGCGTGAACCTGGAGGAAGAGCTCATGGGTCCTGGTGTGCACCTGCCTGTTTGTTCCAAAGCAGCGGTGCCCAGAAGAGGAGGCAAGATGCTAGTGCCCAGCCCAGGACCTCATGGCCTGTCACAGAGGGAGCCAGGTCCCTAGGCACTGCCTGACTGGTGGCTCTGAGAACCAGAGGTGGAGGGTAGCCTCGGTCTGGAAGGGTTCCCCATTTACTGCTCTGTGACAGGGCTCTCTTCGCAGGGCAACCTCCCCAGGCAGGCCCTGAAATCAGGACTCAAGGGGGTGCCTTGTTCCCAAGATGGCTTTGCCTGTTGCTCACAAAGCATGAGGTGGGTCAGCAGCTGGACTGGCAGCCTGTAGTCTGCCCTGCTGTGCAGTAGGGCCCCTCCAGAGGGAGGCTGAGCTCAGCCTGTGTGGCTGTCCAGGTGGGGCTGGGCCCATGGCAGGGGATCAACCTGGTGGTGATGAGGGCCAGGCCCAGGGTCCCGGGGAGCACCTGCCCTGTGGATGTGGGGCGTGGGCAGGTCCCACAGTGCTCAGTGAGGCTGGTTCCATGTGCCCGGTGTTAGATTACAGGCTGGCCTGGGCTTTCGGACAGAATGGTGCTTGAACTCTGCACATAGCATGATCTGATGCTGGAGATCAGAGCAGTGCTGGGGACAGGAAGTAGACATGTCCAAGGATATCTGTAGAGCTCTTCCTGGAGACCTTGCTGTGCCAGGCCACCATCATGGGCCCCAGGAGCTCCTGCCGGGAGCCTTGGTGTCTGTGTATCCATGCCTGTGTTCCAGCCCCGGAGGAGCCCAGGTATCTTCCCCACAAGCTTGCTGTGTGTTGGGTGCTCCGGGCCTGGGCTGGGCCCTGCCCTGTCCCCTGCCTGGCTCTGGCCACTCCTGGCCCCGCAGCAGAAGCCAAGCATATGTCGCCTTTTAAGGCCAAGATCTGCCGTGAGAAGCTGAAAGAGAAACATTTCCCTGGCATTGAGGGAGCATTTTTCTTTCCTCTTTCTCTTAAACTATCAGCAACCTTTCAAAACAGAAAGGAAAAAATAGGATTGGTCAGAGTTACAAAGACCTTTCACCTCCACCCCACCGTCCATGTGGCTGCTGACGGACAGGGACACAGCCAGAGTAGGCCACCTCCTGGTGCCATGAAGGTTGGCTGGCCTCAGTGTCCTGTGTTCTGGGCCATCAGGAAGGCACCAGCTTGTGCGCTCTCACTGGGTGGGCACCTGGAAAGAAGCCCGGGTGAGGTTTGTGCCACCTTCCTTCTAGGGGCACTCACTGCCTAGTGGGGAGGTGCTAGGGACTGAGCCCCCACCTGGGGGCTGGCAGGAGAAGGCCCTGGCTGTGGTGGTCATGCCTCTAGCACCTTTCTTCCTTCGGGTGTCCTCTCTGCAGCCAGGCAGGCGCTCTTGGAAAGCCTTCCAGGGCACCTCCTCGCCGGGTTGGCATCCTTCCTCACTCCCCGACTCACTTTCCCAGGTATGGGGCCCTTGTCTCCTCAAGCAGGCAGCCACACCAGGGCATGCTGTGTGCTTCCTCGGGGCCTCTCTGTCTGGGCAGTGCTCCCTCCTTGGGATTGTCTAACAAAGGTGTCTTACGCCTGTCAGTAAGTCTGCATGCCAGTGCTAGTTTACACCTGGTTTTGTAAAAGTCATGGTGTTTACCACTAAGGAATTCAGGTGTTCAGATGGGAACAAGAGACTGAGCCAGGCTATATGGAAGGCTTACTGCAGCTTGCAGCCAGGGCCTCCCTGCTGCCCCTGGGGTCCTCAGAGGTCACAAGGCTCCCCTGCCCCCAGGATTTTCATGCTCCCTTTGGGGTCCCTTGTGTTGTGCCCAGTGGAGTCTGCCTTGGGGAGCTCCCCATGGAGGCTTCCAGTCAGTCACCTCTTCGCTCCTGGAGGTGCATGTGGCTATGGGATGGGGCAGAGACCTTTTTAGAAGAGTCTCCAGGCTGGTGTGGCACCTCCTGGAGAGCTCAGGGCAAGCATCCGGCTGACAAGCACTGCAGTGTTTCCTCCCCAAGGGGAGCAGCCCTCCTCGTGGCCACTGAGACGCTTATTTAGCTTCTAAAGAAGCTTGGGGGCTGGGTGCTGCCCAGCGCAGGGGATGGCTGGCCTGAGAAAATGACCACATGCAGGGCCACAGCACGTTCTGCTCAGTGGCCTTAGTGCCTGATGGCTACTCTGTTCAGCTGAAAACAAGACATACACTTATTTATTTTGTTTAACAGTACTAGAAATTGAACCCAGGACCTTCATAATGAGCTACATCCCAGCCTATTTTTAATTTTTATTATCTTTTTAAAATTTGAGACAAGGTCTTCCTCAGTTGTCTGGGCTGGATTCAAATTTACAATCCTCCTGCCTCAGCGTCCTAGAGTGGTAGGATTACAGGAATGGGCCACCAGTCTTGGCAGTGAAACCAAAACATTTTAGAGACATATATTTATCCATTTAAGAACAGCCATACCAAGGCATTGTGTGTTAATACAGCTATGCAATTTTTTGGAAAAGAACTGTTTTTCAAACAAGAGCAGAGCTATTGAGAAGCCTATGGGTCCTACTCCCTGCGGAAGCTGGGTTCTCATGCCACCCTGCCTCACGATGTACCTGGTGGAGAGCACAAGGTGCTCCATGGAGCCTTGGTCCCCTGTGGGTGTATAGACGCCTTATCTGGGACTCACACAGGGTGCAGGTGGGGCCCCTTGCCCTGCTGGCTGCTACTCAGTGGTCGTCTGTGAGGCCTGAGTCCCCAGAGCTGTCACCTGCATGGTCTCCCTGGTGGCGTGTGGGATAGCTCAGTAATGGAGGACCCGGGGTACCCAGGTGATGGTTTGGGGCTCCTGTCACACTGGGTGGGGTAGGCATCCTTTGAGGCCAGCCTTCCTGGGAGGATGAACCTCCGGTGTGCCTGGGTGGTACAGAGTGCCGGGTGAGCCTGGCCACTGCAGGAGGGGACATGCGGCCCACAGGACTCTGCTCGGGGCTCAGGAAAGCAGTTTTCTGAGGGAGGCTCACACTGTAGACTTGCCGACTGATGGCCACCCTGCCGCCGGCTTGGTGGCCCTGTGTTGAGTGCAGAGGCCCACAGTATTAACCAGGATGTTGTGAGGTCAAGTCACCCGAGTGCCAATGTGGCCACCACCTGCCTGCCTAGGTCCAGGTTCCAGCTAGCCAGAGGCCCAATGTCCCCGAAGGCTGGTCCACAGCTTCCTGGCTGGATCAGCCCCACCGTGGGTAGCCTGCTGAGCTCCGGCAGAGGATGGATTCCCTCCAGGGGCTTGGGCAGCCCGTTCACCTGCACTGCCATGAGTAACCACAGTGGGGCCCTCCTTGAGGCCCCATGGGGCCTGAGTCCAGCCCAGCATATGGTGACCAAGCCACCCCTTTTCTCTCGGCAGGAAGTCAAAAGCAAAGCCCAATGGTAAGAAGCCTGCTTCGGAGGAGAAGAAGATGTACCTGGAGCCAGAGCATACTAAATCCAGGATCACCGATTTTGAGTTCAAGGAGCTGGTGGTGCTGCCCCGGGAGATCGACCTCAATGAGTGGCTGGCCAGTAACAGTGCGTGTGGGCTGATGGGGAGGACCCAAGGCTTCGGGCAGTCCAGCCTCCCGCCCCCATCCCGAGGACCCCCAGCTGTTGTCCAGCAGCCCCCTTGTGGAGGGGAACAGGCTTGAGTGCCCAGCTGGAAGCAGGGTGTTTCAAACCTGGCCCTTTCCTTCTCTTCCAGCAACAACATTTTTCCACCACATCAACCTGCAATATAGCACAATTTCAGAATTTTGCACAGGAGAGACATGTCAGACGATGGCGGTGTGCAACACGTGAGTAGCGGTTTGGCCACGCCCTCCTGGAAGAGGTAGGGTGGTCTGTAGTCGGCCCTGCTGCCAAGGTCCAGGCTCACCTAGAGTTCTGCAGAGCCTTGGGCTGGGCATTTCTCTGCACATTTGCCTGTCTGTTAGGCAGTCGGTCGCCTGGCCTTCAGGCTCCCTGCTAGGGCACAGGGGTGTCAGGATCTGGCAGGAGGCTGACAGGCAGGGATGTTTCTGAAAAGGATGCTCAGATGTGGTTCCCTGAGACTGCAGGACACCATGGGGGCAAGTGCTCCCCTGCACCAGCTCCTCTTCAGACTTCAGTGTGCTGGGAGGGGCAGCATGGCTGGGGGCAAGAAGGCTCACTTTGCAGGGGCTGATTTGCCTTCCTGGTGGCTGCCTGACAGGCCTGGTGCTGCCAGGTCTCCCGTGCATGTTCATTTCTGCCGTGGGCACCTCACCTGCGTTGTGGGTAGGAGAATGCAGATGGCATGGCTTGCTGCCAGGGCTGTGTTGGTTGTGGCACAGGCAGAAGGCTTTGTCTGCCAGGGTGTAGCTTGGTAGGATCCAGCCATGCATGTTTCCTTGCACCAGGACATGCGGACCAGGGCCAGATACAGACACATGAACACACGTGGAGGCACCGTCCTGAAAGCCATCCTATTTACAGATGTGGCCCTCCAGGCTCCTGGCACAGGGAGCAGAAGTCCCCAGGCAAAGCCAAGCTCTGCTGTGGAGATCCCACAGGAAGGAGGCACTCACATCACCCCAGTGGGTCACAGTCGTGCTTAGTGATGGGCTGGTGCAGCTGGCTCTCCACATCCTGTCCACCCAAATTTCGTAGTCTGGCATTGTCCTTGGAGGATGGGACAGAGCTCTGTGGCCATGCTGGGAGCAAGCTTGGTGTGGTAGGACAGAGATGGGTCCTGATGGTAGGTGAAGCAGCACTGCAGAGTGTCCATCCTGGCCAGAAGTAGTGTCGGTGGTGCTGGCCCAAGCGGCTGCCACAGGCTTCTGTGCCACATACCCTCAGGATTGGGTTTGTTGGGACAAAGCTTCCTGGTAAGAGCATAAGGTATGGTGTGGGGCAAGCCTCTGTCCATGCGGACAGCCATCCCCAGTGTGTCCTGCAGAGCCCAGAAAGCACAAACTCCCCTTCACTCCTGTCTGCAGCCACTCTATACAGCTGTTGTATGTGGATTCATGTTCATGTAATCCTTCCTAGGAATCATTTGAGACCAAAGGACAGAAACTCAAACTAGTTTGAAAGGAAAAGAGAGGTTTGTCAGAGATCCACAGAGCCCATTGCCACTGTCAAGGCCAGCAGGTCTGCTTGGTCAGAGAAGGTAGTCACTAGGCAGGGGACTCTCTCCTTCCTGCCAGTGCCCAGAGACAACCCAGAAAAGCCAGCACTGGAATCCAGGGGGGGTGAGAGAGGGTGGGACCAGGACGAGGGCAGAAATCGCTGCTGAGCACCTCCCACCTCTGCAAAGCTGTGTGCCCGGGGCAGAGGAAAAGCCTTCAGCGCCTGGCTGAGACTGGAGCCCGCAGAGCTCCCCCACATCACAAGTGCTGACAAAGCAGGGTCATCCCACATCCCACATTCCACATCCATGGATCGCTGTGCTCTTCTGGAATGAAGAAGTGATGAAGGGAAACTTAAGTGTGGTGTGGCCTTAGACCTCTGGAAGAGAGTTGTCCAGGAGTCCTCCAGTGAGCAGTGGGGTGAAGGAGGAGCCACAGAAACAGCAGGAGCAGAGACTCCCTCTCAAGCTTAGCTCAGATAAGCAGGAACAGGAGCCAGAGCTGGTCTGAGAGTTTCTTGCTTGCGAGAAGGGGTGTGTAAGGTACCATGGTGGAAGGCAAGAGGCTCAGTCTGCCTCTGGTTGGAAAGGCCACACTCCGATGCAGAGTTGAGCTTGAAAGCCAAGTGTGTGTTTTGTAGTGCTGTGAGCAGCCTCTAAAACTATAGAAAGAGATACAAAATCTTAATAGGTAAATTAAAATGGATGGAGTACTAGTGAAAATTTAAGTAGCTCAAGAGAAAACTGGAAAGAGGAAATACAAGAAATGAAAAGCAGAGGGAAAGAAACAAATAATGGTATATCTAAAATCAAAACATCAAAAGTTATAGTGATACAACTTTTGATATAGTTATCAAAAGTTATAAATATGAATGGTGTAGACACAGTTAAAATACAGTGTTTATGAAAATGGATTCTTAGGAGAAATTTCTTAAGCCAACTCTGTGGTATCTACAAGAAACTTACTGTTTAGCTGCTGTAACAATGTCTCAGACAGTGCCTTCGAAGCCATGGAAGTGTCTTTCTCCCAGTGGTAGAGGCAGGAAGTCCAGGTCCAGGAGTGGCAGATACGGTGTCTGGTGAAGGCCGGATCTTCTGTGAGGTGAGGCGCTCTCTGGGCCTCAGTCACGGCAGATTCCACCTCCCAGAGGCTCCGCTTCTGACACCATCTCCTTGGGGCGTGATTCATCCTGCATGTCTGTGGACACAGACACTCAGACCCTAGCATCATTTTAAATGCTGTATAGAGGTTCAGAGTAAAGGGATAGAAAACGACAAGCCTGGAAGACACTAATCAGAAGAAGGCTGAAGTGGTTGTGTTCCTACCAGACAAGACTGAGGACAGGAGGAGACTCACCGGGCAAAGAGGGAGCCATCACATGCTGGCAGAGGGCCGGCCTGCCAGGCAGAGTGAGGTTCCAGTGCATTGCATGAAGCACCAGCTGAGCGTGGGGCATGCAGATAGAGCCGAAGCCCCACCACAGCCCTGACCCTCACGCAGCAGTGAGAGCAGGAGCAGTCTCCTGACATGCCCGTGAGCTGAGGCAGCCTCAGCAGAGGATTGCACACTCTTCACGTTCACAAGGAGTGTTCACCAAGATAGAAGAGCCCTTAACAATTTTTTAAGAAACTGAAGTTAGATACTAAGTAAGTTGTGTAGCCACAGTGGAGTTAAACTGGAACTGAGTAACAAAAAAGTAATGAGAATTTTTCTAAGCACTTGAGAGTCAACACAGTCCTGAATAATCTCTTGTCAGAGAGACAGTCTCCGGGGAAATTAAAAGCTGTTTTAAACTAAACACAAAGTTACAATCAGAATCGTGGTATGCAGCAAGGCTTAGAGGGAAATTTATAGGCCTGGATTCTTATTTTATAAACATCTTGAATCGATAATCTTAAGTTTTCATCTTAAATAAAAATAAAAATCAACCAAAATTGAGCGGAACAAAGGAAATAAGAGAAGAAATCATTAAAAGTGATTTCTGAAAACAGTAGGGAAGTCAGTAAAACCAAAACTTGCTTGTGTGAAGAGATCAATAAACCTTTAGCAAGATGCAAAGATAGAGACTGTGCAAACGATCAATATAAAGAATGCAAACATAACTATAAACTCAGCACATGTTAAAAGGATGATAAAACATTTTTTAAAACCCTCTATACCTGTAAATTATATAGCTTAATCCAATGGACCAATAGTTTGGAAAACACAAGATTTAAAAATTAGCAGTGCACTATGGGGAGAAAAAGCAAAGACATCCACACTGGAAAAGAAGAAATGAAGCTGCCACCACTTGGACAGAGCGTGACTGTGAAAGCCTCAAGGGTTCAAGCAATAAAGAAATAAAGCCAGACCAACATGCCAGAAAAAATATATGTAGTTCTTCACACGACCACTGGATAGTTGGAAACCTCAATGAGGAAGGCAGTACCATTTATAGTAGCTTTAAAACCATGAGACACTTAGCTGTAACTTTAACATTCACAGGATCTGTACCCCAGAAATTACAAAATACTGATGCAAGAAATCAGCATTGACCTATGTAAATGGGGTGGGGATCGCCACGTTCGTGAATGGGAAGACTCAGCAAAGAACATAAATCCTACTGCAGGTGGATCTGTTGTTTTAGTGCAGTTCCCATCAAAATCTCATCAAGGTTTTCTGGCTTTGGTCCAGCTAGTTCTAATTTACATGGAAGGACACAGTAGCTGGGACAGCTGCAAGAATTTTTAATTTATCAGAACCTATTAAGTGATGGTTTTAAAAGCAGAGTTTCCATCAAACACTTAATCAGGGTAAAAATACATATAAAAAAACCTAAATCTTCAGGCAGAAGTAAAACATAAAAACATCATGTCTACTACAGACTGTAGAATGTCAGAATTTTAGGAGATTCACATAATAGTATTCTGTGGCACTAAAATGTGTAAATACAGTTAGAAATACTACCCTTTGGAACAAAAGAATTTTGAAACAAGAATTAAAAAGTCTCATAGTTTTAAGGTTTAATGTAAAACCACAGTAAATAGAACAGTATGATATTGACCAAGGGACAGACACACAAACTGTGGGATTGGAGCAGGGTCCAGAAGGAAACTCATAGATGTGGCCTTCTGATTTTTGACAAGAATGTCAAAAAAATTCAGTGGTGGAAGGACAATGTTTTGTTTTGTTTTCACTTTTTTATAAAAATTTAAAGTTGGCTCATAGCTTGCATACAGTCTCTTAGCAAAATAATTATAGTTTACACAGCCATTTTATGTTATGTGCCAAAAATGATGTACAATTACTGACAGAATACACCAACCATTTTTCAACACTTGATTCACACTGAGAAACAGTCTCTTGATGATTCTTCTCAACTCTGATTTTATTTAATCTAAGTTTTCACTTTTAGCTAAAAAACAGTGCAAGTAAAATACATGCTGAAAAGGTTCTGATTTCTCTTTATAGCTTCACAAACTGTAGGAAATAAAATGCATTTGTACAGATGCTGAGCACATTCAGAGGAGCCCGCCCCAGCTGGACTTCAGCCTCCACCAAGCAGAAATGCGGTCACCCTCCAGGGTGACAGTGCTGCAATGAACTGTGTGTTCCTGGAGAATTTTGAGAGGAGGGGAGGGGAAGGGAGGGAGATAAATAGTCTAAAAATCAGTTTGCTTTGCCAACTGACTATTACAAAAATAAAATAAGTGAAAGGAGGTCACTGGCTGCAGACACACACCTACACAGTAAGTTAGGCTGAACTAAACCAAAACGCACAAATAAGGTAGAAACTGCTACACGGTGACAGAGCGCAGCGAGTCATTTGCTAAGCGATTCCATCAGTCTTTATATAAGGCTTGTTTGCCAAGAAGGCCACACAATCAAGGATGAGCTCGGGTTTAGTTGTCCTTTAGGAGTATCCACAGGCCTCTGTATTCTCTCTGCTACAGAAACAGGTTTTCCACACTGAGCTGATTTAGAAATGGGAATATAAAACTGTTCCATTGTAAAGAAGTGGCTTTTAAACTATATCCCATTTGCTTATTACAAAAAGGCATAATCTGCAAGTATATAAAAATGTCCCCAGGAGTCTCGTCAAAAACACCGTGCTCCTCCTGTGTCACTTAAGGAATGTTGTGTAGAGCAACAGTGAATGGCTTGTCTCACGCTCATTTTCTAAACGAAATATGAAGTCCCTGAAATACGAGGTGGGACAGTGTTTTCAGTAAACACCTCCTTGAAAACCAGTCAGAAGTGTGCAGGAGAAAGGAGAGTGACAACCTAAACCTCACAGCTTATGCAGAAAGTGTGAGTCTGCAGTATTTTAGAAGGAGATCTGCATGGCCTGGGACGAAGCAGAATTCTGTGAAACTGAAAAAGAATCAGTCAGATTTTACAAAGATTTAGAACTTTTGGTCTGAGAAGGACACTGTTAAGAGGAAAGACAAATTGCAGGATGGGAGAACATCTTGCAGATCATATATTGCACAAAGTACTGGTACCCAGAAACAAAAACTTTATCCAGAATATAGAAAGAGCTCTCAATGTACTGAGGCATCTGGAATACTTTGGGAAAAAAACCTCACATGCACTAATGGGATCCGGGTTATGAAACAAACTCCCAGTACACCTCTGTGATCCAAGTACATACAACAGATCTCTCACACAGGCCGATAGGATCCAGGACATGTAAGGAGCTCTCCTGCACCTAAAGGAAGATGTCCCAGTGTACAGTGTGCAAAGGACTTGGAGACAGCTCCCCCCAGTGGTCCTAAGAAATGGAGCGGAATCAAACAGCTAGGACTGGAAGCCCCATTTGACCCAATTCCCCTGCTGGGTATCTTCCCAAAAGAATTAAAAGAATCATGCCACAGCGATATACGTGGACCCATGTTTATAGCGGCACAGTTTGTAATAGCTAAAGCTTGGAAACAGCCCGAGTGCCCATCAACTGGAGACTGGATAAAGAAGATGTGGGGTTTTTTTTTAATGGAGTACTACTCAGCCATAAAGAATGAGAAACTAGAGTCATATATAACTAAATGGATGCATATAGAGGCCATATTCTTAAGTGAAATAAATAGGACACACGTGTAAATACCGAATAGTTTCTCTAGTGTGAGAAACTGAAAGTGTAAATAAGGACTAAATGTATAATTGACATTGTGAAATAGGAAGGAAAGTTCTAAAGGAGTGGGGGAGGGGAAGGGGAAAGGACAAGGGAAAAGAAAAATTATGAGAACAGGAAAAACATGGAAGCAAATTGTTTGTAAATGGGGAGGGGTGAAGGGGGTGGAGGGAGGGCTGGGAATGGGAAAAAAATAACCAAGATACGTCATGTACAGGTGCAAGATCCCAGTGAGGAATGTAACTGCGTTGTATACTAACATGTGCCAATAAATAAACCTAATGAGAAAGAGAAATGAAGCAGAAGATGGTCAGTACCAGTAGCAGGGAAGGAATTCGCCCTGAAGCCCTGCCGTCTCCCTGCCCGCACACCCGTGTGAACACCCGGGGCCCATGCGGACATGCAGCCCTGGGATGTAAACGATGCCACTGCTCCAGACAGGGATTCGCAGATTTTCCTGAGATGAAGCACATCCTTTCTGCAAATGACCCCTTCCTGGTATTTGCCCTATAGAAACGTGTCCCACAAAGAAAGCTCGTGTCCACGCAGAAGCCCACACAGGAGTGTGTCACAACTGCTTCCTAGAAAGAAGATGTCGCTCAGCAATGAGTGGACAAATGGGCTGCACCTCAGGGTGCAAAGGGATGGACTCCTGATACGTCCCCATGACAGGGCCAGCTCCCAGAGGCATGTGCTGGGGAGAAGCCATGTCCTTCACTGCCAGTCCCTTGTGGTGGGCTCTGAGGAGACAGCTGGAAGTGTGGGCAGCCAGCGGTGTGTTGTCATAATCACGGTTGCAAGTCTGTGACCAGATGATCCAAGTCACCCTGAGCTCTGTGGCCCGTATGTCCTTGTCCCTGACCCTGGCCTCTTAGGGTTGGCTGCCCCGTGCCTGGGCATCCAGAGGCCAGACTGCAGGTGCCCACTGGGCCCCATGGGCAGGGTGGGTTCTAGTGGCGGAAGTGGGTGCTTCTGAAGCTCTAGGCCCTCTGACAATTACCGGGCTGCCTCCCAGGCAGTGACAGGCACATGCCAGCTACTTGGACTGAGGTGGAGGGTGGTGAGTTCACAGCCCACCCGGGCAGCATAGTCATCGAAAAAGTACGATAGAGTGCAAAGCTAAGCGGAAGTGCAGGAAGTGAGGATGAGCACCTTTGTCTCCCTGCGCACACGTCCGGCCCTGGGCCTGGGGCTGCCAGCCCCTCCCAGGTGGTGGTCTGGGTCAGCGCCTGCACACCCCACAGGGTTGTGGTCAGACACGGTCTCTGATGCCCTGGCTGCAGGTCCCGCCTGTGCCATCGCGAGCCCTGTGTTATGTGAGGTGGGAGCGGGCACCGACTGGCTCTGTCCCCACAGACAGTACTACTGGTATGACGAGCGGGGAAAGAAGGTCAAGTGCACAGCCCCTCAGTACGTCGACTTCGTCATGAGCTCCGTGCAGAAGCTGGTGACCGACGAAGACATGTTCCCCACAAAATACGGTACGTCCCGCAGCTGGCAGCTCAGCCACCCCGGCTAGGCATCATCCTGGGGCTGGCAAGTGCTTGTCCTGCTGGGCTAGCGGGTGGCCAGGGTGTGGCTGGGGGTGGGGCCCCCGCTTAGCACCTGGAACTTGGGCCGTGCAGTGGGGAGGGCGCCCTGTGGCCCCACTCTGGGACCTGAAGCTCTGCACGGCCTCCACCACCAGCTTTACAGTGAGACCATCCCCTTGGGGGCTCTCAGGCTGATACGTCCAGGCCCGGCATGGCTGGGGGTCCCGGAGGAGACCCTGAGCTGCCAGGGGCCAGCACAGGCGCCGGGGACTTGTCACCCCAGCCCAGCCCGCACGGTGCCTGGAGTGCACTCGGCAGGCCCTGCCCCGCCCCACCCCGCCGGGCTAGCCCGCAGGAGACCGCACACTTGAGCTCCCGCTGGCCACCCAGGCTGTGGATGCCCAGGGGGCTGGGTCGGGGAGGCAGGCCCCCAGCCTGTGACATGCTGCCTCCCCCAGGCAGAGAATTCCCCAGCTCCTTCGAGGCCCTGGTGAAGAAGATCTGCAAGTACCTGTTCCACGTGCTGGGCCACATCTACTGGGCCCACTTCAAGGAGACACTGGCCCTGGAGCTGCACGGACACTTGAACACACTGTACATCCACTTCATCCTCTTCACCAGGGAGTTCAGCCTGCTCGACCCCAAAGAGACCGCCATCATGGACGACCTCACCGAGGTGCTGTGCTGCAGCCCTGGTGGGGGCGGGGACGGGGACGGGGCCAGTGGCGGGGCCTCAGGGGCACAGAACCACGTGAAGGAGAGATGAGCCAGGCTGGACGGGTGCACATGTGCAGAGACGAGCGTGCGTCTGCGTGTGCGCACACGTGCTGGGCACGCCGAGGTGCGAGGGCCTGGGGCCGCCCCGAGTGCGGGCTCCACAGGTGCGCTGGGGCTGCAGCGTGCTTCCTGGCTTCCCTGTTGGATGGATGAGTGCTATTTGTAGCAGCAAGCCTGGGATTCATTCATTCATTCAACAAACATTTATCGGACTGACGTTTGCATTTTCTTACATGGGGTTTCCCTTTCTTGGGTCTTCTGTGTGGCGCTTGCCCTCCCTCGGCCCCTCCCGGGGCTGTCACTTCGTGGAGGAGGAGGGCCTCTCTCCGGGGCTGGACCTGCACACCCGGCCGGGTTCTGCTCTGTTTCGGGGTGGGGGTTATATCAGAGACCCTCCCCTGGCCTTGCCTGGGTCCTGGCTCTTTGTGGCTCTGCGTGGGGGTGCCAGGGTGACCCACCAAGACCCACACCTGCTGCTTGCTCTCGCCACCCCTTCTTGCTGCCTCCCCACGCCCAGCAAGGGTACACAGATGCTGGGCGAGGCCGGCCGTGGCTCTGTGCGGAGACGCAGCAGGCAGAGAGGCAGAGATCGCTTTAGTCCATCTGTTCAGTCGTAATAAACAGAATTCTCTCAGGTCAGAGCCTTGTGTGTCCTTAGCCTAGCTGCTCCTCCCTGGCAGGAAGGGGTGGGAGCGAGGTGTCACTGCCTGGTCCCTCCTGTGGGGCAGGAACCACAACCATGGCTGGGTCAGCTGTACCCAGCGTGGGGCTGCATGGCCAGGGTGGGTCCAGGGCAGCAGTGTGCAGTAGATGGTGGTGGGGAAGAAACGGGGTTGGGCCCAGGCTGAAGACTGAGCAGGTGGGCTGCGAAGTGGGCTGCAAAGATGAAATGGACCTGGGTGTGGGCACTGCTGTGGGCTGTGATGGCAGAGCAGCTGCCACAAGGCCGGGCCCCTTCCAGCCTGGCTTGTACAGCGTTCCCCGGAGGTGACAGGCCCTCTCTCCTGTCCTGCACCACCTCCAGCTGGGGCCACTGCAGGCCAGAGGCCCTTCTGCTTTCACTGCTGCCCGTGGTCCTCCCGGCCCCATTCTGCCAGCCTTCTCTTTGGACCTCCCCAGCAGCCTCTTGCTCCACCTGCTCCTGAGAGCTGTTCCACCTGTTGGCCCTGAGGCTGCCCCAGAAAGTCCTGGGCACCCCAGGTCCTCATAGCCTGGCCCTGCCTGACCCTGGGTGCACCGCCGGTCGGTGGGAGGAGCTCTAAGCTCCAGGGGCCTGGGCCAACCACAGGCCTGCTGACCCAGTCCTTGGGATGGAACCCCCACCCCAGGTGCTGCCCGCCACACAGCTCTGTCCCACACAGACCCTCTAAGTGGGGGCCTTGGGATGTCCTTTGAACCTGACCTCCGGGCTGTGCTGTTGCGGGTGCTGGAGGGCCTGTGGGCGAGGGAGAGGCTGGCCTGGCAAGTCGGTCCCCTCTGGTCAGCTCCCAGGGCAGGGCAGAGACAGGGGTCATGAGGATGCTGCTTCCTAGACGGAACTGCTAGACAGAGCCCTCGCTGTCTGTGAGTCAGGTAACACGCTCGGCCAAAGCCACAGGAGCTCCTGGGGAGGTGTCCAGGACACACACGGGCCCAACAGGAAGGAACAGTGCATCCCGGGGCCCACAGGTGTCAGAGCCTGTGCAGTCCACCTGGTGGGTGGGCAGCAGGATGAGGGCTGATGCAGCTTGTGGGGTACTGGACAGTGAGCCCCCAGGTGACCAGCCTGCATGCCTTTGAGGGTAACAGGACACTGTGTCCACTGGATGGCTCTTTGCCGCAAGACCCTGAGTCCTGGTGAACTCGGGCCTCGGGGAAGCCTTCGTACCTGTGCCCGGATTTCCCTGCCTGTCAGAGGGCTGGCTGCAGGGGGCTCAGCCTAGCACACAGCTGCTCTTCTTCCTCCTGGCAGGTGGAGCAGTGCCCCACCCCACCCCATGCCCATGTCCTGGCCCCTAGGACTTCGTGTCACTGTTGCTGTGGCAAAAGCTGCATAAGAATCCGGGCTCCTGACCAGCTGACCTTGAGGTGGGGAGCAGGCCTAGGTCGCCCAAGTGGTCAAGTGCCCTTGTAAGGCCTCTTCGCGTGGAAGGAGGCACAGGCAGGGAGACAAGGGCTGGCAGCCTGAGACGGACCCAGCCACACAGAGGAGAGGGCTTCCCCTGAGCCTCCCGGAGACGCTGTGCCATTTCACACCTTGACACAGCGTGGTGAGGCATGCTGTGGATTTCTGACTTCCAGAAATGCAAGGTAACAGATTTGTTTTCTCCTAAGGCATGAAGTTTGTGGTAAGTTCAGCTACAGAAATGAGTGTGGAGTTGGGCCCCAGGAGTGAGGTGCTGCTTAGCAAATGCCTGGAAATTTGGTCATGGCTAGGAGACTCTGGGAAGTGAGATGGGGAAAGTGCAGATTCCTAATGCTTGGCAGCTCCTGCATGGGCACAAAAGTAAAGGGCACGGCAGGGAGGATGGAGGCATCCCAAGAACACTTGGGGGCAGGAGCATTAGGAGTGTGTCACTGTGGTCAGATGGTGACGTGGCAGCCAGCCTGGACACTGGCAGAGGTGCCCAAGCCGGGTCAGGGCCTGTGCTTGGTAGTGTGAGACGACCGGGGATTGAGTCAGCATGGCACTTGGGGACCTGAGGACGCCTCTGCCTGCCTGAATCCCAAAAGACACTAAAATGTGGCGATTGGGTCAGGGAGGCACAACCTAGAGAGGAAGTTCGGGGTGAGGCTGGACGGTCTTTGGCCAGTACCTCAGAGGGGAAGGCCAGAGCTGGGCCGCACGGAGTCCTGGAAGAGAAAGTGTATGAGCACGTCACCTGTTGTCTTCGCAGAAGCCAGCGTGGAGCTCGGTGGTATCGGAGGGTGGGACCTGTGCCTCAACTCTCAGAGTGCATGCCATGGTCGACAAGAGGCCTTTGAGGGTCCTAAGAATGCACCGGAGAGGAGGGGACTGGAAGGCTGGAAGGCCGGGCCCCTCGCTTCTGCAGGCAGAAAGCAGACTAGTGGAACAGTCCAGCGACAAACACTGGCTGTTTTTCATAAAAAGAGCGGGTAGCCCACAGGGGTACAAGTGCAGGGGCATAGCTTGACCCACAGAGGGTGTCTGTTCTGCTGTGGCCGGACCCGTGGGTGTGGAGGGACTGCCTGGGCCGGCTATATCAAACCCGGCACACACGCACGGCGACGAGACTCGGGCGGGACTCTGAGCTGAGATCTGGGTGCGGAGTGGGACACAGCTTGGTGCTGTGATGGGGTGAGTGCATTTTGTACGTGAGGGGGACATGAAATGACCCAGAGGATGGACTGGGCAGGTAGGACAGTGCCCCTCACACACACATCTGCCCACGTGTCCTGGTTCCCAGGAGCTGTGTGCTGACAGCCCCGGGGTGCAGAGCTTCTGGGGAAGGTCGCAACCTAATGACTACCCGGAGACAGTCTGGCCTGGGGTGACCAGAGCCCCAGAGTGGAAGTGGGGGCGGGACAGGGAGAGCCAGGGCCTGCAGTGGAGGTGGAGGAGGGGCTCCTAGGTTGGGGCACCCTGGAAGTGGGCACTTCCTGGGGCCCCACGAGAATAGGCTGTGCTGGCTCCTGTATCTCCAGCCAGAGACCTTTCAGTTCCCAACTCCAGAACCAAAAGACAGGAAGTTGTGTGTGGTCACTTGTCACAGTGACAGCAGGGAACTAATACGTCTGTAATGTGGGTCACGGAGTGCTCACTGGATCTTTTCTTTTTTTTTTTCTTTTTTTACCAGGCCCAAATACTCTGATGGAAACAATACCTAATTTTTAAAAGCAGAGTCCTTTAACAGGAGTGTTCCTCACTTAATAAGGCAAAGCCTTTCATTTTACACAACTATGAAAATCGTGTAAGAAGAACATATTCACAGGTTTCAAAGTTCAGGTTAAAATTAAAATTTAGGTAGCGTTTCTAGAAAAACTCAGGGGATGGAATAGTTCAGGGTCTTTTCTGATAGCCTAACGAGACGACCCGATAAAGCACGCGCCCGAGCACCTGGGTCCAGGCCTGGCCCAGGAGGCTGCTGTGGGCCTCAGGTCAAGGACACTGTCGCCTGCCTCCGTCAGCCCAAGGCACCTCTGCCATGATGTCTCCCTGGTTCTCCCTTGCCTGCCATCGCCTGCCTGCTGCCCTCCACCCCTTGTGAGGTCACAGCAGAGACCTAGACTGGGTGGCAGGGAGCGGGGTGGACACAGGGAAGAAAAAAGGGAAGAGGTCAGCCAGGAGAGGGGATGCTGGGCCGGAAGAGCCGTTAGCAAGAGCCAGCCCTGTGCTGGACAGCCTGGCGTGGGGTGAGGGCTGGCTCTGCTGCACCCTGCAGCCGGCAACAGGATGAGCCTCCCCACAGAGGTCCCACTGCCTCGAGCGCCTCTCCCTCAGGGGTGCTCTGGCCCCACTGCACCCTACCCTAGCCAGCAGAACCATGGCCGCGGGCTCGCCAGACAGTAGCAGGTGCGCACCCCGCACATGCCAGCCATGTTAGCCACCTGAGACCTGGGAGTCTGGACACAGGGCACAGTAGCTTCTCTGTGGACCACGTGAGAGGGAGGACAGCTGGCAGGTGCTGAAGTTTGGGTTGAGCTTTCCTTGGCTTCTCCCACTTGGAAGCAACCACGTGGTGTCTGTGATAGGACTGCAAGACAAAGCCCCTCCGGGCCATGCGGTGTGACAGTGTAGATGGGTGCTCAGGCCTGCTGCCCACTGGTCTCCTTGGGGGCTCAAGTCCAGTGCCATTAGGGCTGATGGCAGAGGGCGCACTTGGAGGCTCATGGGGTGGGGTACGGGGTGACTGCTAGCAGAAGAGCAGGTACAGGACCAGGTCAGGACTTCTGCCTGCAGCCGGCCAGCAGCCAGAACCCCAGAGCTCGTCATGTGCCTGGGCTGTGTCCGGGTGCCTCGCTCCTTCCCTGGACGTGAGCAGCAGGCAGACAGCTGGGCCAGCCTGCCAGGGGGCCTTCTGGGCAGCCCAGCTACGCCCAGGAGCCGGCGGAGGGTTTCCAGCTCCCCTCAGCACCTTCCCCAGCCTGGCCTTGAGGCTGACAAGCCGGACAGTGCATCACTGAGGCTTGCTCCTCCAGGCCAAGATGAGCCCAAAGCCGAGTTCCAGGCAGTGCTTACCAGCCAGCCGCCCTGCCCCATAGACTCACAGCAGCACCAGAAACCCCTGCTTGTCATAGCAGGGTGAAGGACAAACTGGCATCGGTGGCAGACGTCAGGGATGCTGCAGACCCCACCAGAGACAATCCGCATGCTGCATGCGACAGCCTTGCCCTCCAGGGCTGGCACAACAGTGGGGCCTCTCACCAAGCCACGCTGGGGTCGGCTGAGAGCAGAGCCTTGTAGACCCTCAGACAGGGCTGAGACACAGACAGCCCTGAGACAGGGCTCAGACAGCTGCTGCCACAGCGGGGGTGGCTGGGACTGTCCCCTTCAGGGTTCTCCAGCAGGGAGCAGAAAGGTTTATGCTCCAGGAGACAGGCCAGGTGCCTGGTGAACCCACACAGGTGCAGGGTGGAGGACAGCACTCGTCACTCCCTGCTGCTGGCCCCATGGAGCTCCATGCCAGCTTGGCAGCTCTTCCCGGCCCAGGCCTGGGGCCCTGCCTCCAGCTGGGCGGCTTGGGAGAGGCCCAACACGTCCAACTCTGTCCCTGGCCACCTGGACGCCCATGCTGAGCTCTGCTCTCTTCGGCTGGGCAGACCCCGACTGGGTGCCATGAGACAAGCTGCCTTGGGGCGTCCTGGGCCCTTCCCGTGCCCGCCCTGCCCGCACGGAAACCTTGCGTCGGCTGTCTTTGCGGAAGGAATTTATTGTTCCGGGACTGAGGCGCTCACAGCTATCTGACAGGGTACACTGGGTGGGCTCGTCCACTCCGTGGCTCAGCGTGAGTCCATGTGCTGAAGTACAAAAGAGGAAGGCTAACGCGAGGTATTGCTTCGGTGTCCTCTGTCTCCGCGAGGAGCCCTTCCCGCCTGTGCTGCGTGGCTTTGCTGTTACAGGTGTCTGACCTCTATGTATAGAAATCCCGGCCTGTGGCAGAGTTGAATGTAACAGAAGCATTAAGATCTATACATGAGGGGCGGCGGGGTCACCCAAAGCAGTGGACACTCACAGCAAAGGCATGCATGGGACCTCCTGCGCTGCCCATGCCCTGTGCCAGCTGGATGGAGGACACAGCAGCCAGAGGTGGGTGCACCTGGGCGGACCTGGCCGCTGGCAGGCGTGGACAGGTGGCTCGGCCTCACTATGGACGGCAGGAACACTCCACAGAGGCACACACCAATTCTGTCTGTCTGGTAATTTTTTTTAACTTTTTTTTCCATTTTAATAAAAAAAGCCCTGCGGTGCACTACCATCCTGTGTGTGAGGGAGGCTGCCCAGGGCCCTCCTCCTACCCCTCACTCCTGGACACAAAGCCAGGAGAGCAGTGGGCAGTGCCATCATGGGTGCCCTGCCCGCCCCCCTACAGGACGACAGGTCAGAGCCCAGCCTAGAACTGCTTCTGCAGCACAGCGGCACAGCCTGGGCTAGAGCTCACTGCACCGTTCGTGTGTGTGTGTGTGTGTGTGTGTGTGTGTGTGTGTGAGTGTACAAATAACCAGGAGCAAGGAACCAAAACAAACCTAGCCCTGCCCAGCAGCTCCCCCCACCCCCGCACCCTTTTCCAAAAATCACCAAGAAAAAAAGTTTATAAAAATATCTTGCAGGAATTCTTTGAAGTTTACAGTAGCTTGCCGGTGCTGCATCCACCAGCCGGCCCCTTGCTGCCCCAGCCCCCCGACGACTCTGTCCTCAGAGGGCCCCTCGGCTCTGGACCCACCCTACCCGAGATGGACGGATGGACGGCAGGAGTGCACTCCTGCCATCCCTTCCCTGAACAGAGAACGGAGACATAAAGGAACTCAATAAATTAAAACAGCAAATAAATAATACTGATGTCAGCCCCGCCCCAGCCTGGCCAGCCCAGCAGCTCTGCTGCCCAGGTCCGTCCCTCTGTCAGGAGGGCCAGCAAAGCCAGGGGCGCCAGCAGCCCGGCGCAGCTGTGGAGACACGGATGCAGACGACACAGGAGGCGGCCCCCGTGAGGTGCAGAGGCGGCCTCCCGGTGCAGCATGAGGCAGGGATGCTCCCCGCTGCGGCTTCGCCCACCACGGGCCCCATCTCGGGAGGCGGCTGGCAGGCATCCCTGCGCAGGGTCTGGTCACTGGCAGTCCAGCGGCGGGGCTGGAGGAGGCATCCCCCGGGGCCAGGCCCTCCGTGTGGCCATGCGGGGCTGCTGTGGGTGGGCGGGCGGAGGCGGTGGCAGGAGGGAGGGCGGGTCCGCAGCAGCTGCCTTCGTCAGCCAGTGTCCGCGCGGAGCAGAGGTTGGCCTCGTGGAGGTGGCATGTTAGCTTTTCGGGATAATTCCTGGTATCAGAGTGGAAACAAGCGATGCCGTCAGAGACAGGCAGAGACAGAGACCTCGAGAGAGGAGAGCGAGCACAGCGGCCCAGCCCGCAGGCCATGGCCAGCTGCTCTGCTTTCCTCCCAGGCTCCGAGACAGCGGCGGCAGCAGGGTGCCCGGTCCACACAGGGCGGTGGGCGGCGGGAGGGACTAGTGTGTAAGGCTGCTCGCGGCGGCCGCGGCCGTGTCCTTGCCCGTCGGGAACTCGGCGTCCCCTCGAGGGCCAGTGGCCGCAGGGTCACCGAGGGGGCCGTGGGCACTCCGCCTGGCGGGTGCGCTGGGGGCCGGGCCCGCCTGCCCGTTCTTCTCGTCTGAAAAAAGTTGTTTAATTACGTCAAAGAAGTTACTCAATGGGCTGCCTGGGTACACAGAACAGGAGACAAAAGAAGAGAAAAGAAAAGAATGGGGGAGAGGAAGAGGGGGAGGGAAGGAGAGAAAGAGAACAAACAAATGAACAAAGGGGCCTCGGCAACAGGTGAGCCCGAGAAGGGCACGGAGCAGGGAGCGTGGGCAGCAAGCAGGCCAGGCAGGCGCCGGCAGGGTCCCCGCGCCTGGCACTGTCCCCCGCCGGCCCCTCCCTCCCCGCTCCGGGCCGCGAGCCGAGCCGAGCCGAGCCGAGCCGAGCCGAGCCGGGGTGGGGGTGGGGGGTGAGCCCAGGTGGCTGTGAGCCTTGGCTAGCGCAGGCCTGCCGCCACGCCTCCCCAGGAAGCCCGGGCCTGGCCCGGCCAGGGTGGACAGCTCAGCACACAGACAGATGGACAGATGGCGCACAGGCATGGCGGGCGTGGCGGGAAGGTGGGGGCCGGGCCCTGGTCCCAGAGGCAGGAGGACAGGGCAGAGATGGGGCAGCCCCCCCCGCCCCGCCCCAGACCGAGCTCACTGCCGGGTGCCCGACAGGGCTCCCCTGCGCTCCCTAACTAGCCTCGCCTCGCCTCGCCTCGCCTCGGCACAGGGCCTCCCGTTTTGCAGAGCGCAGCCAGCGCTCCCCTGGGACCCCTCCCACTCCCAGCCTGTGGTTCCCAGGGCCCATCCTCATCCTGGCAGGGACAGGGTGGGGCGCCCAGGACAGCCACGGGGCGGGGTAGGCTGCGGGGGAGCAGTGGGTGCCCGGCCGAGGTGCCAGGTGAGCGGGCGGGAGGGTTCTTACCACATTTGGAAAGCCGCCCCGTCATCATTCCCATACAGTTAGTGGTGTCTGGAGCACAGAATGGAGAGAGCAGGGAGGGAGCGAGTGAAAACCGGGCCTGCGGGGAGGGCCGTGGGTGGGCGGGGCCTGAGCAGGGCGGGGCCTGGCTCAGGGGCGGGACTTGGACGAGAGTCTGGAGCTGGGGCAGGGGCAGCAGGGCTGTCATGAAGACACCCCAGCACCACAGGCTCGCGAGGGCAGGCTGGGCCAGAGAGCACGCTGTGTGGCCACCTGCACAGCCGCACCCTGCCACTCCCATGGCCCTCGCTGTGGCCCCTTCCTCTGCTGCACCTGGGAATGTTGGCCGCCAGCCTTGGAGGGGCAGTGGGGACTACCACCTGCTGCAGGGCTCTGGGCTGCCGCTGCTGGACACGTGTCCAGGACAGGGTGCCCAGAGGGCTAGGCCTGGGAGACCCACGCCGGTAAGAGGAAGCAGCCTGGGTCTGGGTCTCCGGGAAGGGCTCGGCAGGCCCCTCCCCTCACTGCCCTTGGTGTCCCCATGAGCACAGCCCCTTGTTCCTCAGCCTCTGTTCCCTCTGCTCTAAGCTGGGGCCAAAGCCCCAGGAGGCTGCAGCTGCCCCAGGCTGACCACACATCCTCCTGCTGCAGGACGGGGCCACAGGGGCCTGGCCACCCCCCCTGCTGCCGCCTCTCAGCCCTGGCTCAGCCCCACCGCCATGGGTGACAAGGTACATGCTGTGGACACAGCCACAGGTGATGGAATGAGGATGGAATGAGGAGGGTGTGTGGAAGGACCCTTGGCCCCACACACCACAGTGGCCCTGGTGGGCCCTGGCCATGAGGACCACAGAGTGGCTGGGCGCAGGCTGCCCCGGGCCCCGACCAGGCCCCACCTCATGGCTCCAGCAGCCCCGGGCCGCGGCGGCACCCGGTTCACCCCGCTAACACACAGGCCATGCAGGCGCCTGTGCGCCCGTCCCGCTGCCCAACAGGGCCCACGAGCGTGCGGTGCACGTCCTGGCCTTTCCAGTTGCTGCCAGGCAGCTGATGTCCCTGTGGGCCTGCTGTGGCTGGGCCTCACCTGCCCTGCTCAAGGCAGGGCTGAAGGTTCGGGAGCCCCAGCCTCTCTCAGATGCCAGGGCATGGAGCCCCGGGGGGCGTGGCTTTGGTCGCAACCCCACAGCCTGGCGGGGCTGTCTCCGTGTCCGGCCACCTGGTACGGGGCCCTCTGGGCCAGCCTGGCTCTCGCCCGAGGCCCTGCCGCAGCCCCGCCCGCCCCGGCCAGACAGCGGGCCGGACACCTTACCTGCCAGAGTCACAGGCTACTCTCGTAGCTGGTGGCCACCTTCTGGCCCTTAAGCCCAGCGCCCCAGCTCAGTCCTGGCGCTGGCGGGGGCGGTTCTACGGTGGACAAGAGGCGCCTTTCAGGGTGCTGCGGCCGCCGCGCCAGGGCCCTGCTCCCTGAGGGTGGGCCGCAGTTGGGCAGGGGGCGCCGCCCTGGTCCTCGAACCTGCTGGCCGCCGCTCGCTCGCTAGCTGGAGAGCCGCGAGCCCCGCCTCACCTGACAAGTGCTGGGCTGGCGGCTGGTCGTGGGGACTCAGCAGCTGGGCCTGGATGGTCTCCACCACCCTCTTGAAGCGGCGGCTGGGGCCTGGGGGAGACGGGGGTCAGGACCTGGCCTTTGGGCACCCGAGCTCCGCCCGCGGCCTGGACTCACCTGAGAGCAGGGTGAAGGTGACAGAGTAGATGCCATTCTCCTTCTGCGCCTCGCCGCCCTCCGTGTACGTGATGTCCACCTGGAACTTGACGGGCTTCTGGAACACGGCCGGGCCGCCCGTGGCCTTGTACTCGGCCCGGAAGCTGGTCTGGGAGATGACGCTGTGACTGAGGCTGGGGATCTGCGGGCATGCGGGCACGTGAGCTCAGGTGGCTGGGAGACAGCTCTGCCCGCCCGCCCCGCAGGGTGAAGGCACCCGTGGGAGACCTGCAGCCCAGCTGAGTGTGGCTGGGAGAGCCTGGGGCAGGGACCCCGGCCTCCTCCAGTCCTGGCCCACGCAGGAGCCCCAGTGCCCACCTCCAGTGCCAGTTAAAATGGCAGAAAGCGGACGGATCCCCTGCTACCGAGTCTTTGGCCAGACAGGTGGCGGGCACAAGGCAGGGGCAGACCAGGCCCGGCCAGGCCCAGGCTCCCCAGCACCAGGGAACCCGAGGGTGGCCCGAGGGAGCCAGGCGGTGTCCGGTAGGGAAGGTCACCCTCGTGGGGCCAGTGGAGAGGGGCTGAGGGCATTCTGGGGCCTGTGCTGGTGGGAGCGGTCTGCATGGGGTCTCTGAGGGCCTTGTCTCCCCCGAGACCTGAGCCCAGGGCCCCTCACAGTGACCCTGGGCTCTGCAGGACGAAGACGGGCGTGGAAGCAGCTCGGAGCCTGCCCCAGGCCCACGCCTGCCCCACAGCCTTGTCTGAGGCCAGGAGGCCCCCAGCAGCCCAGCGGGCGCATCCAGGAGGGAAGGTGCAGGGACAGAGGGTGTCAGGCGTGTGCAGGGCTCACCGACAGGAAGGCGTGCACAATGTCGGCCTTGATGGAGCTCAGGGGCTTATCCTTGATGACCACAAAGATCTGCTCCTCCTTCTCCAGGTTAATGAAGTTCCCGAACCAGGACTTCTTGGCCAGCCTGGGGTGGAATAGAGGCTGTGGTGAGCATGGGGTTTCTACACTGACCCTAACCCCACTCCCCGACCCACCCCACCCAGCACCCCATCACCATGAACCCCCACTGCATACCCATCTTCCAACTCGAGACTCAGCGCCCACCTCTAACCCTGAGGCTCATTCCACGTTCCAAACCCCACCATTTACCCTTCCTGACCCATGGTCCCCACCAACCCTAAGCCATGGCCCCAGCCCTGGCTCTGCTACTCCAAGTGCCCTCACTCAACTCCCTCCAAGCTGTGGGGCTGGGTAGAAGGGGCTGCAGTGGGTGCCCCGGCCCCATCCCTGTCTAGGTCCCTGAATTTGGGGGCGGCCTGCTCTGCCCCCCACCCCGAGTGTCCCAGCCTCATACGTGGTATGCATGGGCCAAATGGTCTGCAGACCACGGGGAACGCCCCTCCCACCTGGCGGGGTGTCTCAGGGACAGGGACGTGAACAGGGAGGGCCTGCCCAGAGCTCCCCACAGCCCTGTCCCAGGGGCTGACCACAGACACCATGGCTCCTTGAGAGTCACCTGCCACCTTCCTGCTGCCCAGCAAGCCCCAGACCCCATTCCTCACTCTGTGCCCGTCTGTGGCCCGCCCTTTTCCACAGAGCTGGACACGGAGGGACAGATGCCTCCAGGCTTGGTCTCCCTGGTGGGGTTGTGAGCCCGGTGTGGCAGGCCTGACCTGCTTCTAATGAGGAGAACCCTGTGAGGCCGTCTCCCGGGCCTGCCCTGCCAGCCTACAGGGTCCCAGCCAGCCAAGCCCTCAGACACTGGACGGCTCTTCCTTGGCCTGGCTGATGCTGTGCTCAGCCTTCAAGCCCCGAAGGAACCTGCCCACACCACCGGAGGGGCCAACTTCAGCCCATCCCGTCACACGTTGCCAGGAAGGGCCTGGGTACCTACACACTGCCATGTGGACAGTCAGGGCTCTGCAGGTGCCCGTCCACCGAGGCGGGGGCCATGGCAGAAGTCAGGCCAGGCCAACAGGTGGCAGTGAAGGTAGAGGTCTGTCCCTAACCCCTTTCTGAAGCTGCTCTCTGGCCCCCACCCGCCCCTCTGTTCCAGGTGCTGCCACATCCAGGGCACAGGCTCCCACCCCAACAGTGCCCAGTCCCAGGCCCTGGGCTCCAGAAGCACCTGGGCATCTCACAGAGCAGCCAGCTGTCTGGAAACCACAGATGAGGATTCCGATGCCCCCTCCCCGAGGAAGACAGGGAACATGGCACCCCAACTTCCTGCACTGCCGGCCAGCAATGTGACTTCCGAGGGCCTGGGAGGGCCCTGCCGTTTGGGGCAGTACAGTCCATGCTGGAGCTCAAGTCCATGTGCCCGGGAGCAGGCAGTACGGGGGTGGCCACAAAGGTTCTGGGTGGCCCTGCACTTGATCAGAGGCTCAGAGCAGCAGCGACTTTTGCTGGACTGGCCTCGTCCACCCGAGAAGGACCTGGCATCCTCTGGAGTCACTGTCCCTCCTACCTCGGGCCAGCCACACCCCAGCCCCATCTCTGAGGACCCTGCGGACACGGGGCTGGAGGCAGCTGGGGCTAGTCCTCGGTGCACAGGCCGAGGGGACAGGACAGTGCAGGGCCTTGGAGGGGGACAGGGCCGCCTGGGGGTCTTGCTCAAGAGGGGAGAGACAGCAGGTGACTACTCAAAACAAACAACCACAGACTGGCTGCTGACTGCTCCCGAAAGCAGTGACCTCACGTGCGTTTCCCACAGACCAGGAACAGCACCCGAGGGCAGCACCCTCATCAGCAAGGTCAGCACACAACCAGCAGCCCCCAGAGGTCCTTCCTGAGAGCCAGCGGCCGGGGCAAGGTGCCTGGTCTTGCTCCAAGCCCAGTGCTGCCACTGCACAGGCCACGCAGCTCCCGCTGGCCACTGCTCCCTACAGTGCACGGCCCGGGCTCACTCAGCACCACCACACGCATGCCGGCAAGGACCGAAATGGAGCCCGCTGCGGTGTGCTTCACCGACATCTTCACTTCGATGCCTGTCACCAAGGGCTGCGCCGGCCGGGCCGCAGGGCTCCCATTTCAGTTTCGTCCTCCAAGGAGAAACTTCCACAGCGTGGCGCCTGCCTTGCCCGCCCTCTCCGTCCACACCAGGGCTCTGCCAGGCCCTGCCCTCCCCAGCATGTGTGCCCCAAAGGCCCCACCCCACTGTCCCCCCTCAGACTCAGCTGCCCTGCAGTCCCCATGCTGCTCTGCTTCAGTGACCTGGGCTCCCCGTGCCGTGGCTCCTCCCCACTGGCCTTGCCTGAGCCTGGGTCCTCAGGCTCCCAGGACTCCCAAGGCTGAGCCAGGCCTTTGCAGTGAGACCAGGGGTAAGCAGGGCTCCTGGAGAAGCACCCTGAGGTGACTGCCCCTCCCAGGAGGGGCCGCAGGTCCCATACCAGGCACCTTGCATGGAGGTCACTTACTCTGGGGAGGACTCGGGGGTCAGGTTGGACATCTCCTCGGGTGTCGGAACTGTCACAAGAAGGACGAGGAGAAGGCAGTGACCGCTCCGACCCAGGCTGGGGTGCTCCGCCCTGACAGCCACTCGCCCGGGGCCATGGGGAGCTGTCCGTCCCGGTGCCTAAGTGGTGCCGCACCTGCTGGGCCTGGGGCCTTCCCTCCCCAGCACAGCCCCACAGTGGGAGTGCCCGTGGCCGCCCAGCACAACCCAGGGCAGGGGCCACAGCGGGGCCGGCTGACCCCATGCTCCTGGCCCCGGCCGCTGCCCAGGAGGGCAGGAGGGACGGGCCAACGCGGGGCATGGACAGGCTGGAGCAGCGGCGTCCCCTGTGGCCGCGAGCACAGCGCAGCCGACCAGGCCCTCGGCCCCACTCCATGCTGACCTTGCAGCTTCCGGCGGTGGAAGCGAGGCGAGCCCAGGAAGCTGTTCTTGATAGAGCTGAGCCGCGTGCGCCAAGGCACCCCTCCGACACTGGGGCTGGATGGCGGCGTGGGGTTGGGCGTGCCGGCTGGACTCTCCTTTGGCGTGTGGACGGGCGTCCCCTTGGGGGTGGGGAGGGGACTGCCCCTCGGTGAGGGGTGAGGGGTCACCTGCATGGTGGGGACAGATTTGGTGTTTGGTTCAGTCTCAGGGGCTGGAAGGGCTGGGGGCCCAGGGGGTAAGGCCGGCAGGGGGCCGAGGCCAGGGCTGGGCGGCCGAGCCTGGGTGCAGGCTGGGAGCGGGTTGGACTTGGTGCCCTGCAGCGGCTTGCTGGTCAGCTTGGCCTTGCGCGGCAAGGTCTGGGTCCTGGGGCCGGGCCGCGGGGCGGCCTGCGGAGTGAGTGGCTGTCCGGGCCGCGGGGTGCTCCGACAAGCTTCAGGCTCCACACAGGTGGCCGGGGAGCAGGCCAGGAGGGGCAGCTCAGGGGGCGGGGCGGGCAGGACGAGCTTCCTAACAGGCTGCGGGTGTGGAGGCGTGCAGGAGGGGCGACCGCGCGTGCCATGCGTGCCCCCCCATGCACACACAGCATTCGGGGACCCAAGCGGGACAATGAAGGCCGCGGGGCACAGAAGACAACGACACACAGACGACAGACGACAAGAACAGAAAAACATGCAGTTAGCAAGAGCAGCCACGTGAACAGCCCGGGCTGGCGTGGGGCCGGGCAGCGCCCCCCACCCTGCACCGTCGGGGTGCAGCCACAGCCTGGCACCAGCGTGGGGCGCCACTCACCCGCGGGCTGCTGAGGGGGCTTGTGGAGAGGCCCGAGGAGGCACCGCTGATGGACCGAGACCTGGGATGCAGAGCAGAGAGGTGATCACCCAGGGCCCCCAGCGCCTCTCCCCTCGGGACCTTCCAGACGCCCGAGGCTCTGGGGCCGGGCACAGCCTGCCGAGCCCATGGGTCCCTGGATGGCACGGCAGTGCCAGGCTTGTCCTGCTGACCTTGGCGGCAGTGCCCAGAGTGCAGCTGGGTTCTGGGGCTCCTGCCCACAGTGAATGCCATCAGCAGCCCTGGCCCTGGCACAGAAGGTGCGGAGGGGCCCGCAGCAAGGGGCTGCAGTGCTCAGGTGTGTGGAGGGACGAGGGGACAAGACCCAGCCCCGTCCTGCCATCACCAAGGTGTATCACCGAGTGGGTGCGTGGGCCGCTGGCTCGGCACCCACCAGCCCAGCCCTCTACATCCGTCCACTGCTACCCGAAGAGACTCCAGGGGCACCCACGCCCCCTTGTCCCACTGCTGCTCCCTCTCGGCTGGAGACCTGGCCCGGCCCAGGGTGTCCCCTTCATGGGGACCAGGTCTTGCTCCCCCACACCACGAGAAAGCCAGTGCCCCTGGTCCTCAGAGGAGGAGCGCGGCAGAGGCTGAGGTAGCTGCCAAGACGAGGCAGGAAAGAATGAAGACACCTGGGCACCCTGCCAGCCACACCCTGGCCTGCTGGCAAGCAGCCTTGGGCTCAGCACCCAGCCATGCTGGCCCCTGCACCTGCGGGTAGAGTCACGGCTACGTGCTAGGCTCCAGCGGACCACCACGGGGGCCGGAAGGCAGCCCAGACCGGTTCCCAGCACGGCACCCAGGCCTGAGACGTCAGGGAGCTGGGGATGGCCACACAGGACAGCAGCCAAGAGCAAGCAAGGCCTGCAGGCCCACCACGCCAGCCAGGAGCTCGCCACGCAGCACAGGGGCAGCACGGAGAGGCGGGAGGGCGAGGGGCGAGGGGCGAGGCCTAAGCTACGGCGCCTGAGACCTGAGGTCAGCCAGGGTGGTCATCTGCAGGAGGAGGTGCAGGGCGCTGGGCAGGAGGGCGAGGGTGGGCCAGACGGCCAGCACCGAGTGGGCAGAGGGAGGCCCTGCCTGGCACAGCCAGGGCCAGGCCGGCTGCTCTGCTTCCACTGCGGCCACTGCAAGCAGCATGACAGCCCCGGCACCCAGGCCCCTGAGGCCCACTGGGTGCAGTCCACTGGCATGAGCAGCTGTCTGAGGTCGTGTACGTGGCTCTCCCCAGGGCTGGCCACTGGCCACGCTCCATCACCCTGACCCTCCTCCCTGGCTCCCCCTGGCCCTGGACAGTGCCATTCCAAGACAAGAGGGCCAGGAACGTCGTGCTCAGCCCGCCACCAGGCCCGCTCTGCTGCCTGTCCAGCAGGGCAGCGCATCTGGGCTGGAGGGCTGGGGCGATGGGCAGGGTGTATACCTGTCTTCTGTGCTGAATTGGGGATGGGCTTCAGCGATATCCAGGCTTTTACTGAACACTGCTTTACTACAGCAGGAACAAAGCGAGAAAACAGAGTTACTGCCACACGCACGCAGGTCAGCTCCAGGCCCAGCTGCTGCCTGGGACGCGGGCGGGACCTCACTCTGCTCTGGGTGGAGTACAACCTGACCAGGCCAGCACACGAGGCGGCAAGAGACCCGGGCAGGGCCAGTGAGCCCTGCCTGCCCTGGGCAGCCTGCAGGGCAGCCGGCGGGTCTTGTAGGATGCCCAGCACTCTCCACCAACCCCCAGGACACCTCGTCCCCATGGGTGGCCAGGCCAAAAGCAGAAGCAACTGGGACATGGTGGGACAAGGCCTTCCAGAGACACTCAGGACAGCGTCCACCCCATACTGAGGCTGGAAGCTGGGGTGGAAGCCAGGGACTCTGCTCAGTCCAGAGCATGGGAAGCTTGGAGAGAGCAGCACTCAGGCCGCAGTGAGGGACCCCAACATGCAGGACACTGTCGGGCTCAGGAATGGCGTGCTCAGGAGGGGCCCTCACTGTTTAGCCTGGTGCCAGAGCCCTGATGCAGGAGGCCGAGCTGGCCCCACCCTGGAGGGCCTGGGCAGGCTGGAGTGGGGCAGTCTTATCTAACAGTGGCCAGACACTCATGGGTCCTGCCCCAGTACCCAGGCGCCCGGCAGACAGAGGGGCAGTGGGCTGCTGGGGTCTGGACCGCAGGGCTAACAAGGAAGGCTGGGGCTACTGAGGCTTCCCAGCCCCACACAACCAAGACCCCTCCTGGTGAAGGACGGCTGGGTCCTGAGAGCTGTGCCTGGTACCAAGCGTTTCCAGGGCCTCTGTGGCCCTGCTCGGCCCAGGCCCACCCAGGCTCTGGGGCTGGGACAGCACACACCCGCCTTCACTCCCCGACATCCACATCCCTGCACCATCACAGGCCGCCCGGAGCGGCCAGGCATCAGGGAGACGAGCCTGCTGTACTGGCGGCTCTGACTACGGCCCCGACACACCGCAGCCCAGCCTGGCCCGGGCCTGCTCAGTTCCATCCAGTCCTGTTCTGTGCACCTCACTCTGGTTCAATCCTGATCAGCTGGCCTCAGCACAGCTCAGTCCAGTTCAATGCAACTCAGCCAGGCTCAGTCCAGCTCAGTCCAGTTCATTCCTGTTCCATCCAGTTCAATCTAGTTTAATCCACATCAGTCAGCCTGTTCAGTCCATTTCAATTGAGTCCAACCAAGCTCAGTCCAGTTCAATCCAGGTCAGTCCAGTTCACCCTGTATCAGTTCAGTTCAATCCAGTTTACTTATTTAACCCAGCTCAGCCACATTCTGTCCAGTTCAATCCTGCTCAGCCCAGCTCATTCCAGTTCAATCCTGTTCAGTTCAGCTCAGTCCAGTTCAACCCAGTTCAGTCAAATTCAGTCCAGTTCAATCCAGTTCAATACTGATCAGCGCAGGTCATTCCAATTAAATCCAGGTCAGTCTACTCAGTCCAGCCCAGCTCAGCCCAGTTCAATGCAGTCCAGCCCGATATAGCCCAGCTTAGTCCAATTCAGCCCAGTCAAGCCCAGTCCAGTTAAACCCAGCTCAGCCCAGTTCAGTCCAGCTCAGCTGAGCCCAAGCAGCCCTGTCAGCCCATGCAGCCCCGCAGACCCCAGCCCAGCCAGCAGCCCGGGGAGAAACCAGGCCAAGCCAGATGCAGGAGCGTGGTAAGAGGCCAACACCGCTCTCCCCTGGCAGCAGAAGCCTTGGGGTAGCTACGCACCTCTGACTGTGCTGGGCCATCTCGATGGCTCGCCTTGCGGGCACCGGGGAGCCACCATCTGTCACACTGAGCACCTCCATGGACTTGCGTTCCGGCCGCCGCTTGCCATGCCGGTTCAGCATTGGAGAGTCCACGCGCTTCCGGGGAGGGTCTGTGTGCAGAGGAGGAGTCAGTGGGCAGCCAGCGGGCAAGCGGTGCGGGCGGGGTGGAGGCTGCGTACCTATCTCGTTCCTGGGCGGCAGGTCCTCATCTTCGTGGCTGGGGTACCTCTCTTTCCGGTCCAGGAGGAGGAAGTATATCATCTTCTCCTGGTTCTCCCTGCAGCAGCAGGGGGCAGCAGGAGGGTTGGGATGCAGTGTGCACTGCTGGACGTCGATCTGGGTACCAAGAGGGCTCCATCCCAGAGCAGCCCCAGCCCAGCGTGGAGCCCACCCGGCTTACTCCTCGGACAGCAGGTCCTGTAGCAGCTTGTTGCGGTCCCGGAAGCAGCCCAGCGAGTGCATGCTGTCCAGCACATCAGGGTCAATGTCCTCTAGGCTGGGCAGCGAACGGATCTGCACCTTGCGCGGGATGGGCTGCTCTGGCTCTGGCTCGTTTTTGCCCCCTCTGCAGATGACAGGGCACAGCGGTCACTCACCCAGCCCGGCCGCCCCACCCACCCTGAGGCAGCGGGAGGGTGGGAGCCCGGTCCTTCCTGTGCTGTCCCTGGCCCAGCCCCTGCAGGCCCGTCCTGCCACTCCAGTGCGGGCCACCCCCCCCTTCCTAGCTGGCTCTCAGGCCCCAGAGGCAGGCAAAGCAGGCATTAGTGCATGGAGAAGCTACTTACATATACCATATGTGTTTCTGAATGTGCTCTAGCTACAAGGAAAGAGAAACAGGGAGTTAGTACAGGGGTCCCAGGTTAGGAGGTGGGGCCACAGCACAAGGGAGGGGAGGCCCCCGGGCCCCAGGCCAGCACCCTGCCGGCCTCCTCCTTGGGGCATGGAGATCACAACCAAAGAGGGAGCAGAGCAGGGGACAGGCGGGGTCCAGGCGGGGCCAGAGGGGCAGGGAGAGGCGGGAAGCACAGATCCCGAGCCTGTGCTGCCTGAGCTGGACCCTCTGGGAGGCACCGGAAGGCGCAGAGGTCGGGCACCGGGCTGCCACTGAGGGGCTGGGTGCAGTGCGGGCAAGGGCTCAGCGGCCCTGCCAGAGCCCGTTCCACATGCCTGGGGCAGCTCACCACAGGGGCACCTGGCTGCCTTCCCTGGGTGGCCCCACGCCTCTGCTCACGCTGCTCCGAGAGCGCGCATGTGTACGGGGAGCCTCCGGGGCTCACCAGCGCCTCCGAGACACACGCACAGGCACAGGCCTGCCGCCCACCCAGTGTGCACCACACGCTCCTGGGCAAGAGTGCTTTGGCACACGCCTGCTCCTGGGCACGTACCCTCGCACACCCACACAGTACACCCACCTGGCACACAGCTGCACACACATACCCTGGCACAGCCGACACTACACACTTGGCCTGGCACTCACACCCATGTACACACACCTGTGTACACACTATGCACTCACCCTGGCACGCACAACCTGGACACAGGTCCTAGCACACACTCATAACACCTTTGCTCATACACCTGAGCACATGCACATTGGTGCACACTCCCATACTTGTGCACATGAACCCTGGCTAGGCTCACACCTGTGCACACACAGTGGAACACAACACACCAGGCACTCACACACCTGTGCACATCATGCTCCCCTAGCGCCCCAGGGCCCCATGCACAGTGGGCAGCACCCCTCAGGCGACACCATGGCAAAGGAGCTGCATGGGCAGCAGGGCTGTCTGCGGAAGGGACAGTCCAGGAGTTGGTGGCGAGAAGGAACACACCGTGAGGCGCCGAGCCGCGTCCACTTCAATCATGCCGCGCAGCAGGCTCTGGCAGTCGGGCGGGATGAAGTGCGGCATGTGGAACACACCCCGCTTGACCTTCTCCAGCAGCTGCCGCAGGTTGTCATCATCGAAGGGCAGTGCCCCCTGCGGGCGGGCAGGCAGCATCAAGAGGGCAGGTGGGACCTGGCAGGGCACAGCGGGGGCAAGAAGCGGGCAGGGGACATGGCTGGCCAGGGCGAAGGGGCCCTGGGGGACTCACCACCAGCAGGGCGAACAGGATCACACCGCAGCTCCACACGTCCGCCTTGCGCCCGTCATACTTCTCCCCCTGTGGGCAGTGCCAGAGCAGGTGTTGGCAGGGCATGGGCCTGGGGCTTGGGGGGCAGAGGGTCTGGGAGGCCAAAGGGTGCAGGTTGGAGCTCGAGGGTCCTGGGAGCAGCAGACTGGCCTGACAAGGTGACCCCCACCACAGGGCCCCAGTGACTACTTACCCGGATCACCTCCGGGCATGCGTAGTGAGGGGATCTGGGGGCAAAGGCATGGGTCAGGGGACAGCAAGTCAGGACCTTCCCCCAGGCCCAGCCTCCCTGCCCACCCTGGAAGGGGCACAGTGGGGCCACAGGCTGAGGCCCCAGGCTTTGGCCGAGCCCCATACAACCTCAATCCTCGGATGCTCCTGCAGGGTGCAGAGGTCGGGGCCTGCCACACCAGGGCCAGCTGCCCCTCCATCCAGCTTGGGAGGGGCACCCAGGCCCCTGGCTGATGGCAGCCACTGGGGCCAGGCAGGGGTCACACAGCCCGCTGTGGGAGCAGGGGCTGCAGCTGCACTCAAGCTGGAGGCAGCATCGGGAGGGAGGGCCTTCCCTGCCCACGCCGGGCCCTGGTGCCGGGGCAGGACTGAGGTCCTCCTTCACCCATGGCCAAGCTAGGGACTGGGACAGAGCAGTGACCAGGAGGGGGCACCACACACCCGCAGCTGGTCTCCAGCAGGCTGTCGCCGACCTGTAGGGATGCCATGCCGAAGTCTGCGATTCGAATGTTGTTCTTTTCATCCAGCAGCAGGTTCTCAGGCTTCAGGTCCCTGTGGCTGCGGAGGGGGTGGCGAGGCTAACCAGGGTGTCCTCTCTCTGCCCCATCCCACCTCCGAGGCTGCCCCCTACCCAGCGCCGCAAAGCAGCCGGCCAATGGCAGCCCAGCCTGGTGACATCATGGACAGCCAATCAGGTCCCTCCTGGTTGGTGAGAGGGGGCTGGGCCGGGGGCACCTGGTGGGGTGGGGGGTCACACGGAGGAGGGCGTGCTCGCACCATATGGAGTGGCTGTGGCAGAAATCCAGCGCCGAGATGATTTGCCGGAAGAACTTCCGGGCCTCCTTGGGCGTTAGCCGCCCCTTCTTCACCAGGTAGTCGAACAGCTCCCCGCCGGACACGTGCTCCAGCACCAGGTACCTGCGGTGCAGGGGCGTCAGTGCCCCTGGAGCAGGCTGCAGCCCGGGCTTCAGCCGCAGTGACCCTGCAGTGCCGGCCCCTGGGACAGAGGCCTCCTGGGACCAGCCTGTCCCCTCCTGCCCGCTGGCCACGTGGGCAGAAGAGGGGCCACACCCTCACTCAGACTGGACGGGCTCTGGTGGCCCGTGTCTCGGAGCCTGCTCACTGTGCCCACCACCTGCACGCCGCAGCTCCCGGCTGCCTGTGCTCTTTCTCCGTCACCTTTTGTGAGCGTCCCCAAGGGAGACGAGACCAAGGCCAGGGGCCGACCCTGACACCCCCACAGCCTGGCACCCACAGACACTCAGGGCATCCAAGGCAGGAGGCAGGGTGGGGCCTCTCTGCACCCTCCTGACGTGGCCTCCCTTCCAGGGGAGAGGCACGCAGACCCCATGTGCCCTGCCGTCTCCCCGGTGAAGGTGACGCTGTGAGTGACCAGTCCACCCCACCCTGGATGCCTTCACCTAGACCAGCTCTGGGGCCACAGAGCAGTGGGGCACTGGGGTCCCCCGGGACGGGGCTGCCAGGGCAGAGCGATGTGCTCAGCCACGCTAGACAGGGGTTGGGCTGGGCAAGGGGCCTGGTGACAGCAGCTGGGGACCCTGGGGACCCTGAGGCGTGAGGGAGCCCTGGGTGGGCGTGGGCAGGCCCGGGCCTCTGCCTGCCCTCCCGGCCTGGGCTGCGGAGCTATGACCTCCCGGGCAGCGGCCTCCCTCAGACACGCCCTCCCGCCCCTGTCCTCCAGGCCCAGCAATACCTACAAATATTTTTTGTTCTCATAGACGTCATGCAGCTTCAGGACGTGTGGGTGCTCAATGAGCTTCAGGATGGCAATCTCCCGCTCCACCTGCAGAGAGAGCGTCAGGGCAGCCACACCAGCCCTGTGGCCTGTGCACTCAGGGCCTCCCACTGTGTTGGCAGGCTGGGGAGATGGGGTGTTGGGGATGCTGGCTACTCGGCCTGGCCCACACAGAAGGCCTGGGAGTACAGCGGGGCAGTCCACAGGGCGGTGTGGCGGGCTGCAGGCAGGAGCATGCATCCCTCCCCAGGCTCCGGCTGCCCCACGGAGGCAGAGAGCCCAGACCCAGGATGCCAGGCTGCCCCTGAACAGAAAGCAGGCCCTCTGCCCTCGCCACTCCTCTGCCCCCAGGACTGGCAGACAGGGCCACCCAGGCCACAGTGGGCACAGGCTGCGCCTCTCACTGGCGCAAGCCTTTCCATCTGTGGTGGCTGCATGCCAGGCCTTCGTCTGCGTATGGAGACCCCTGCCCCAGTGTCCGCACTCTGCGGCTGCTGTGCTGGCCCTGGCCCACCCAGTGCAGGAAAGCAGCCAGGAGCCCTCCCCTGGCACCCTCACCTTCATCAGCACAGACTCGCTGAGCTTCTCTCGGTTGACGATCTTGATGGCGACTTTCTGGCACGTGACACAGTGGATGCCCAGCTTCACGAGGCCTGTGGGAGAGAGGCCTCTCTCAGCCCCGGGCTCAGCAGGGATCCTGCTGCCTGCCACCCCGCCAGGTGTTCCAGGTTGCTGACCAGCCCCGTGTCAGGCCAGCGCACTGCCCTAGAGTCACGGGCCCCTCCTAGGACACCAGTCCTCCCGATAGGCTGAGGCCCTGCACCTCTGCAGAGTGGTTGGTCCCTCTGTGCCGACCTAGACCCCGCCCAGCCCAGGACAGCAGGGTGGGCAGCTCCACTGCTCCTGTGTCCTTGCCCACTCCAGCCCATGTTCCACAGGTCAGAGCCTGGACTCTCCCGAGCTTGGCCCTGAGGTCCTGGACTGAGCCTGGCGATCGTGGCCCCACTCTGCTTCCACTGGACAGCAGCTCCCGAGAGTCCCCAAGAGCTCCTGTCACTGCCCAGCCTGCCTCGGGCCAGCACCCACGAGGCCCGGGGCTCTGACAGAGCTCCCTCCTGGCCCCCATACAGGAGCAGTTGAGGCCTGAAGAAGCCGCCTCCCCCTGCTGCCTTTGATCTGTGAAGGCCTGGGATTCCCACCTTCATGGAGAGCAGAGCTCTCAGCGGGAGGTGGAGAGCAAGGCTCTGACAGCAGCCATCCCTACTCCAGCGCCCCGGCCACTTGTACGCCTCGAGCTCTGCCAACACACGGCTCTGTGCTCGGCCAGGGCTCAGCGAGGACAACCTCTGTCCAGCGAAGAAGCCCGAAAACAAGGTTTGGAAAAGCAAAAACAGCTGTGACAAGTGACAGGATGGCTCTGACAACCTGCTAGACCCAGTCCTGAGGAGGCAGAGAGGCAGGGCCGGGAGGGCGCAGAGAGGAAGCCACAATGGCCACTGGGAACCTGTCCCTTCTGTGTGAGCCTCAGCTCCAGGGGGCAGAGAGCAAGCCTCCCTCCAGCACACGACGAGGGCCAGGCCAGAGGTGGGACGGGCACGCAGCCACCCGGGGCAGCTGGGCACAGCCTTTGCCCAGCTCTAGCTGCTCAGGAAGCATCCCAATAGTTATGCACTGCAGCCACGGGCCACGCAAGGACCACAGCATGCTGGCTCAGCCCACGCCCTCCCGTGACCTCAGGTGCCCTCTTGTATGTGTCCTTCTGGAACAGGGCAGTGGGCGGCCTGGCCAACCCAGGGGTCAGAGGCTGGAAGGACAGAGCTCGACACCCATCTGCCAAGGTGGCCCAGGCTGGGCACCACCGCAGGCTGCAGCCTGTGAAGCCCACACCTTCCCCCAGGCAGTTGGCTCCCCATCGAGGACAGGCAGAGGCTACACCAGGGTCCACACCCTCACTGGATGAACAAGCCTCCCATGGTGCAGGAAAGTCCCGGCTGCATCCTGGAGCTAGGTCACTCCTTCCCAGCCTCTTCCTTCTTTCACTTGTCCATTCCCCATCACTGTGGTTGACCACTCCTACACACCCCACAAAGCCCCACAGGCAGGTGCCCCTTCTTGGTAAAGCTTGCTGCATCCTAGAAGTAGCCCAGCCTGTGTCCTATTGTCCCATGGCCACAGGTCCCCTGGGGCTGGGTGTCTGTGTTCTGCAGTTCTCAGCCCTCCTGCCTGGCTGGGGCTCAGGGTTGCAGGACTTGGCTTCGAGGGGGAAGATCGTCCTAATTACCCACCCTCTGACTCGCTGGGGCTCATTTTCCAATTGTGAGTTTATCTCTAATTATCATCTTTACACAACACAGCCTTGAATCAAGAGAAAAGTATACCGCATCACAGATAATTGCAGGGCACCAATGTGCATGCATGGATGGAGCTGTCCCCACTGTGGGAGGCTGCTGGTCTGTGGGTGGGGACCCTGGCCCCGGCCCTTCCCCTCCCCAGGGCTGTCCTCCTGAAATCCCCTGTTCCCAGAGGCCTGGGGTTCCTGCTATCCCCAGAATGTCTCCCTGCCTCATTGCCTGGCCCTGCCACGGGGCAGGCCAGCAGCTCTGGGTCTGGGTCAGATGCTGGTGCTGGTGCCGGAGGTGGGGTCTAGTGGGGGCGACCCCACATCCTGGTGCTGGGACTCAGTGACCAGAGGCAGGGGCTCCAGGCCTCCACAGGGACATCTTGGCCACCTGCTGCCTCAGCTGCCCCTGACTGATTGGCACCACGCCTGGCAGGGAGCTTCCCCAGGGAGGGCACAGAGCACACTCCAGCTAGGAAAGGGGCCCCTTCGCTCCATGAAGACAGTGGGCTCCTGGTACTGCACCCCTCGAGCAGCCAAGGACTGTCGGCCACAGTGTGAGGGGGACAGAGTGACCGTTAGCCTCGCCAAGGGCTCAGCTCCGTCTTCATCTCCACCTTAACCACCCGCCACTTGCGCTCAGGCTCCACGTGGCCCCACACAGGGTGCCAGCCCAGGCCCTGCCCTCCTGCCGGGTCAGTGAGGAGAGTGTGGACATGGACGAGATCGGCTGCTCCCCTCACCCTGAGTCCCAGCCTGGGGACGGAGTGGGAGGCTGAACAGGGAGCTGGGCCGGCTTGGAGGCTGGGGCGCTGTCCTGGGTGCTGAACACAGCCCTGGGACCAGATGACCTCTTGCAGCCTGGAAGGCGGGGGGGGGGGGCGTGCAGGCTGTGAGGCGTGGAGTTGGCCTCTCGCGGCTCAGGGGTGGGCACTGGGCTCAGGCGGCTCGGGGCCCCTGAGTCTGGTGAGTGGCCAGCAGTTTCCTTGTGCTTTAGGAGAGGAGGCCAGCTTGCCTGACGCTGGCCTGGGCAGCTGACAGCTGCTGTCCCTCACCATGCAGAGCCCACCAGGCACAGGACACCTGCCACCTGAAGGCTCCTGCACACCAATGCCTCTGAGCAACCAGTGTCCCCTGTGCCTGCCCCCTGGCTGCCCCTGCCTCTTGGGCCTGCAGCCCTTGTCCTGAGCAGCACTCCCAGCCCAGGCCCAGGGACAACCAGGCAGGCAGTGACCCACTTTCCTAGAGCCCTGGCCACCGTGTGGGTGTGGAAGCAGCAGCACTGGCTCCCTGGGGCTGCGTGGGCTGCATGGGGACTGCGTGACACTGGCTATTTGGAGAAGCGGATCTGCAATGCAGAGCCCCAGCTGCTGGCCCGGCTGTCCAGGATGGGTGACAGGAGAGGCCGAGTGAGGTGCAGTGGGTCCCTGCAAGGCCAAGCCCCACACAGGGCAGCTAGACCCTAAACCCAGCCCTGGGCCTAACATGGCCACTCCCCAAGGACAGCCACCACCAACAGGTTGCCAGCAAAAGTGCCTCAGCCCCAAAGCCCATCCTAGCCAGGGGCAAGCTAAGCCTTTGGGCACACACTGCCCTTGCCAGGCACCAAGCCAGGGCTTATGCCTGCATGTCTGGGGGGGGGGGCAGCCCCTCTGCACAATCGGCTCCCATCCAGGGGGGCCCCAGGGGTGCCGCAGGTTCTGCCCCAGCAACCGTGAAGCCACAGCATGTGTTGTCATGGTGCCGTGGCTGCCTCCTTGCTGACGCTGACCCTGGCCTTCCAGCCTCTCAGGTGCAGGGCTGACCCTCCCCTGCCCTGCCTCTCCCAAAAGCAAATCCCACAGCTGGAGCACACATGGGTGGGGGCACAGGCGGCTGGCAGGGGTGCTGGTGTGCAAAGGTGGCAGCAGCTCAGCTGGCCAGTGCCCTGCTGGGCACAAGGCAGCGAAGGCCTCTCTGGTGGGCTGGGGTGCCATACCCCACTCTTTAGGTGCTGGGGAAATTCTCGTGGCTGGGTCCTTGCCCATCCCACTGGATCCCCATGATGAATCCCAGAGCACCCGAGTAGGAGGCGGGCTGTGGGCCCAGGCAAGACTTGGGCCAGAGCACTGCCCTTCCTCAGAGTCCAAGGGCTGGCACAGAAGCTGCCAGGCACAGCTACAGGTACCTGGCCACCAGGAGGGGCTTCGTGGTGGCCCCACGGGCACACCCACATCTGCACACCCAGAACCCACCAATGGGCCTCGGAGGAGGTCACTGAGTTACGATTTCCACGTGGGGCCGTCCAGACTTCAGGATGCCGAAGATGTTCAGGGCCCCAGAGCCCAAGAGGGCGCAGCCCTGCCCGCACCTGCATTCGGGGCGGGGCCTCAAGCCTGGGGCCAGCACGTGTGCCAGCCACATAGCCCAGGGGAGCTCGCAGAGAGTCACCACGCCCATGTCCATTCCACTTCCTGCGATCACAAAGCGCACACCTCCACGTCAGCCCCAAGTGCTCCCGTGCCGCCCAGGAGTGGAGCCCAGCGCTCCTCAGCCTGCCTGGGCAGAGAGGGCTGAGCAGCAGGCAGGCCCGGCCCAGTCCCAGCAGTGCCCACCCTTCGGTCCCTTCCTCGAGAGCCTCCAGGTGGGCAGGGCCCCACGCTGCAGGCACAGGCTGGGTCCTCGCGGTGAAGAGCAAAGAGGAATGAAGCCCAGGGGCAGGAGGGCGGCACCTCTCCCCACAGCCTCCACCACAGCCCACACCCTCAGCCCAGGGAAGGGGGCACAAACCCAGATTGGACCCACCCCAAATGGCTGCCGTGGGAAGGGGAGGCCGCACACACCTGCAGCCCACACCCCATGGCCAGGAGGAGCCCAGCCCGGGCCCCTCCAAGGCTGCCTGCTGGGAACAGGCTCTTCAGCCTAGAGCACCCCGGCAACCTGAGGGCACTGCTCAGGCCCCAGACCTGCTGCGGGGAAGAGGGGAGGGTCTGAGAAATGGGCAGCGGGCACACAGGGAGGCACAGCCCAGGGCACACGCGACCCAGACCCAGCACTCGAGGGAGTGTGCCTTGTGCATTCACTCCACCAACACAGGCTAGGATCTCCCGGTGCGCAGCACCACAGGAGGGAAAGCCATCCCCGCCACAGCCGCTCTCAGTGTGGACACAGCGGGGCAGCACCCTGTGGAGGGGCTGCCGGACCCTGACACCAAAGTCCCCCCACTTCATCTCTGGCAGGGCGTCGGGACCCAGGACAAGCCGAGGCTTGGCGGCAGCAGCCAGCAGCGAGGAGATGCACCCTCGGCCAGGAGGTGCGGCCACGGCCGACTGATGC